CATCTCTGCTCTTGCAGCCCCCACCACCTCCTTCACTATCAACAGTTGTTGTAGCTGGTGAGTCTACGCTGGCCTCTCATCACCCACAGTCCGTCGTTCACATCAGGGCTCACTCTCGGCGCTGTGCGTTCTGTGGGTCTGGGCGAATGTATGAAGACACGTATGTATCACTATAGTATCGTGCGGAGGATCTTCACTGCCCTGAGATCCTCTGTGCTCTGATTGTTCACCCCTCCCCTCACTCTCTACCCCTTGATGGCCATGGATCTTCTTCTCATCTGTCCATGGCTGTACCTTTTCTAAAACGTCATAGAGTTGGAATCATACAATATGTAGATTACATGAAATGTAGATACATTTCATTGACTTCTTATACTTAGGAACATGCATTTAAGATTCCTCCATGTGTTTTTATGGCCTGATAGCTCATTCCTTCTTAGTGCTGGATGGTATTCCACAGTTTCATTTTCTGTTCACCCACTGATTCATTTTGCTTGCTTCCAAGTTTTGGCCGTTGAGAATGGAGCTGCTATAAACATCAGTGTGCAGGTTTTTGTGTGCACACAACTGTTTGGTTCACTTGGGTAAATACCAAGGAGTGCAATTGCTGGGTCACATGGGTTTGTTTGCTTTTGTAGGGACCCATTACATTGTCTTGTAAGGTGGCTGGGCCATTTTGCATGCCCACACCAACTCCACATCCTCACCAGCATTTGGTTTTGTCAGTGTTTTGGGTTTTGGCCTTTCTAATAGGTGTGTAATGGCACCTCATTTTAATTTGCATTTCCCTAGTGACGTATGATTGGAGCATCTTTTCATTGGCTTATTTGCTGTCTTCTTTGGTAAGGTGTCTGTTCAGCTCTCTGCCTATTTTTTAATCGGGTTGTTCATTTCTTATTATTGAGTTTTAAGAGTTCTTTGCATATTTTGGATAACAGTCCTTTATCAGGTATGTCTTTTGCAAATATTTTCTCCCAGGCTGTGGCTTATCTTCTCATTGTCTTCATGTAGCAGCTTTTAAAATCCTTATTTCCCAGACCCTTCTCCAGAACCGCTTTCTCTAGGGGTGGACCCAGAAAATCCGAACTGCAAAGGCTGCTAGAGAGGAAGTCCCAGGCCAGCACTGGGCGCCTCTACTTGGCAGAGCTGGAGTCCCGGAGATTAGCCTGACAGGTAGGTGGGGCCCAATGAGGAGGAAGCACGTGGATGCTGTGCTAGGGAAGGTGGCTTTGAAGACCCTACTTTTTATGATAAGGCTCAATAAACATCTTAGGCCAAACCCTACAGACAATGGAAAGGCACTGCAGACTCTGAGGGGAAACCAAGGTGTGACCCAACTTCTGTTTTAGGCAGCACGGCCTGGTGGTAGTGTATAGAAGGCACTGAGGATGTTGGAGGCATTAGACAAGTGAAGAAATCATCGGAATATGCCTGGTGACTGGTGGCAAGTCCCTCAGCCAGGACTGGGCAGTGATGGAGAAAGAGGTTCCATTCAGTTCAGCGCAACAAGAGTTTCCTTAACATGTTTTCTGGACCGAGCCCTGTACCAGGTTTTAAAGACCCTGGGATGAAATAGAATATTGTCCCCTATCCTCAAGGAACTCACCATCCATCCAGATTCATCAAAAACAATTAGGTGGAGAAAAAGGGAGCTGGTACCTGGGCAGTGGTATGGACTGAATTCTGCCCCCCTGCAAGTTTATGTCCTGAACTTCCTATGTGACTGTGCTTGGGTGGGGGGCTCGTGGAGGTAGAGGCAAAGGCAGACAAAGTCATAGGATGGGCCCCTCACCCAACAGGATCGGCGCCCTGATGAGGAGAGGCAGAGACGCCAGAGGGCAGTGTCAGGTGCACAGAGAGGAAAGGCCACGTGAGGACACAGCCGAAAGGTGCCCTCTGCTGCCAGAATGGGAGGTCTCACTGGAAATCAGTTTTGCCAGCATCTTGATCTTGGACTTCCAGGCTCCAGAACTGTGAGAAAATAAATGTCTATTGTTTGGGCCACCTAGTCTGTAGTGTTTTGTTATGGCAGCCGGAGCAGATTAATACAAAGTCGTAAATGTTTATTCGCGGGGCGACATAAACAGTATTAGGGCACCACTCGTACCTGTCTCAAGCTCAGAGGAGACAACCTGGGCTGGTGTGGGCTGCTTCTCCTAAAGACAAGGCAAGTGCAGAGAGAGTGAGAAGGAGGCCCAGGACCAAGGCTTCGCAGCACTAGCGTTAGGAGTGGTGACAGGGATTGGCAGGAATCCCTGTGTGGCTATAATGTCGGTGTGCCGCTGACTTACTCGACACGGGGCCCTTCTCCGCCCTCATCTTCACTCTCAGAAGTACAACTGGGGAGAGAGGGCAGGGGATCTGAAGTGAAGTCTAGACTCACTGACAGAGCCAACAGTAGGGATGGGACTCACGAAGTTTTTTTTTTACTTATTGTGAATTCATTAGTTCACTGATTATTGGCTAGCTCGTTTCATCTGTTGGGTTCTTGCATTATTATTATTTAATGTTTTATATATTAGTGTTTTGCCTTTCATTAGAATAAAGTTCCTTGAGGACAGGAGCTGCACTTGAACAGCTTTGCTTCTGCTCTTTATCCTTAGCGCCAGCGTACAGCTGGCCATCCAGTGGCCATCAGGACAAGTATTTGCTCCGAATGGTTGAAGAAGAACGGTTACATTTAGGTCAGGGGCATCAAACTCATTTTTACCGGGGCGCACATCAGCCTCACAGTTGCCTTCAAAGGGCCGAGTGTAATTTTAGGACTGCATAAGTGTAACTACTCCTTAACAGTTAAGCGAGAGCTCGGCGCGCCGCCGGGTAGAAACAAGGTTCCCGGCTGTATAAAACAAGGTGTATAAATCCGGCCCTCGGGCCTTGTGTTTGCCCCTTCTGATTTAGATCATCATTTTTTAAGCCTTTGTGAATTCAAAAACCATAGTCAAAACAAGATACACTTAAAAATGACAATGGGCATGTTAAAGCATCCAAAGGGTACTAGTAGAAATCGCAGTATTTTAAAAAGCCTCCAAAAACTGACAGCTTGTGCCAATGGACCTCCTGATCAAGAAAGAGCTGGGCACTGAACTAGGTTTCAGACAACGAGGGGGGGACAGGAGGGAGTCAGTGGTGCGTGGCCGTGGCCTTCAGTACTGTTGTTCACGGCTCCGGACACCTCTCCGATGGGGTTAAGTATTTACATTCAGCCGATGGGGTTAAGTATTTACATTCAGCCCGATTCCCCTCTCTGACTCCGCAGGCAGCAGCGGCCCTCTGGGGGCCCAGGGAAAGAGAGAAGCCCTCCCGACAGGGGTCCCGGGCAGGGGCAGAAGGACCTCCCCTCCCCCTCCTGCATCTGAAGAGGGCTTCCCTCTGGGAGTTTCCAGCAGCCTGACCTCCAGCCTTTGGGTTGGAGGGACTGGCTGCTTCTGTACCACATAAAAAGGGCAAGTGCATTCATTATTATTATACAATGTATAATATATAATAGCGATTATGCTGTCAGCAGCCAGAGTCTCTGACCACAGATCAGAGGCTGGGGTGACATAAATCCACCCAGTGAAGTCTTTGGAGATTCTTCGTGAAGGTGAGAGGAATCAGCTTCCTCTCTAATGGAGGCTCTCAGGGAAGAGTTTCTTCCCCAGGCAACTTCGGAGTTTGAAACTTGGGGGACTGGGAGGATTGGGGCAAACAGTGTTATCAGTGTATCGGGGCTGTGATGCTAAAAAGGCCACAGTTGTCTCCTCTGAGCCATAAAATGCTAATGGCTCAAAACCCTGCCCGGGACGGGGGCAGATGAGGAGTCACCCAGAAGCCTGGAAGGAGGGAAGGGGCCGCCCCCAGCTCCTGGGGTCAGATTCTTTACAGAAAACCTGGCCAGCTTGGGTTTCACTCTCTGCCTCCTTGCTTCCATCAGTGTCTTTGTCTGGGCTTTCCCCGGGCCCCCTGCCTGCTCTGAGGTCAGAGGATCAATGGCCGCCTGACTGTGGCTGAAATGGCTCCTCTATGGGGAGCCAAGAGCAAATTTCAGGGAGGCAGAAAGGGCCCTCCAGCCCCTTTATGCAGGGGGCCATGTGCTGAGTTGTGGAGCCAGCCAGCCAGCCAGCCAGCATCCGTAGGTGCCGGCACCAAGGCTCAGCAGCACTGTGATCTCTGTGGAGTGCTTGCCCTGGCCTTCCTCTGAGAAGGCACTTAGATTAATGTCCTCCCCCAAGTAGCCGAAGCCACCCCAGCGGGCCCAGGCTGAAACAGCCCAGCTGGTCTCCCTTCACATTCAACAACCCGACCCCCCAGGACCCTGGGACTTTTTAGAATGAAAACAGCGGTGCAGAGCACAGGCTCGCCTGGTATTTGCAGAGAGGTGATTTACTGACAAAGCCTCTGCCCCCTTTCATCTCTCCCTCCGCCCCAGCCCATCACACAGCCTCTCCCTCTGTGACCCAAACGCCCCAGGAAGCCCACGGCAGAAAAGCTCTTGAGAATAGGAATAACTAACCGGAGTTTCGTCTGAACACCTTTTCTGGGGCAAGGGTAACAAGAATTATTCAAATGCAATCATAAAAATGAGGCCAGCCTGGCAGGAATAGGGTGGGGGCGGGGGACGGAGTGAAGATGGAAGTAAGGATTTCTTGCCAGTTTTAAGTTTTGTGATTTCGGGGGGTTCTCCTGTTGTCCTCGTCTCCGTCCGCTCAGCAGGGGGTGTCTCAGAGCTCTGTCCGGGCGGTGTGCTCGGAAGGGCTTGGCACAGGGGACGGGGCTGTTTTCCCGAGGTTGCGGGGTCCGCCGCGTTCCCACGTCCGAGGCCACCGTTCGGGCTGAAGCTTCCTGCCCGGCGCGGCTCTGCGCGCGCCCGCGACAGGAGCAGGCCCTGACCCGGAGTCTCAGAAAAGCCTCCAGCAGAGGGAGACACTCCGGCGGCTCCTCGGCCGGGAAAGCGGCGGGCCGGAGCGGGTGGGGTGGTGGGGGTGGGGAGAGGGGAGTGGGGAGAGGGGAGGTGGGGGGGCGGGGGCGGGTCCCTGAGCGCTGACGTCCTGAGCGGTGCTGGGAAGTATAGGCTGTGTTGTCACGCCGGTGTCAGTCTGATGAAGATTGGCATCAGGTAAGCTGTCATTCATTTCCATGTCAGAGCCGCTTCTGCAGGCGGCGCGGCTGCGGGCGGCTGCCTCGGAGCGCGCGTGTTTTATTCCGGTCCCCAAGCCGGAGTATTATTCATTGCGACAGGGCGAGGAGGAGAGCGAGCGAGGGAGGCAGCGGGAGGAGAGAGGGAGGCGGCAGGGAGGAGGGAGCAGGGAGCGGGGAGGGAGCGCGCAGAGAGAAGCTGGGGAAGCGCCGGCGGACGCGGAGCGGGGCGAGGCTGGGGAGGAGGCGGTCCGGCGCCCGGCTCCCGGCGCGCAGCCCCGCGGTGGCCGCTGCCTAGCCCTTTAGGACAGGGGCCGGGCGCGCATTGTCCGCGCGCGGGAGGCGGACCGCCGGCCCCGAGGCCCTGTCGCGGACGGGCGGGGAGCTGCGCCGGGGACCTAGAGCAGGGACAGGCGCGTTGGCCGGAGCCCGGCGCGGGCTGGTCGGGGCCGGGCGATCCTACGGCGAGGCCGGCTGCAGGTTCGCTTTCTCCCGGCTTCGGGCGCCCTTTGGGCGGGCGCCGCGGGCGCTGCCACCCTGAGGCTGCCTTTGAGCAGCTGGAAGCGGGAGCAGCCCCAGACTCGTGCCGGGCGACTGAAGTCCGAGCCACCGCCACGTCCGGCCTGGGCGAATGGGGTTCGCCGGCGGATCGGAGGGGACTTCGGAACACGAGTCAGGGAAGCTGGAGCCCCCGGGGCCAGTTTAGGGGCCCCAGCCCCCCAGGAGCGATGATTTGTAGGGTTGTGGGCTTTGGGCGGATTTTTGGGAGTCCTTGGTGAGGTGAGGGATGCCTGGGGCCCCCTGCGAGATTTGAGAGTGAGGAGCCCTCCTGGATCTAGTCCTCCTGGCACGAGTTCGTAAAAGAGGGGACGGAAAGCAAAGGTCAATGGGCAGGGTCTTGGGTCTGCCGCAAAGTTTGCGGCTCTTTCGGGTTAGGTGTGCGGGCTTTCCCCGCTGCAGAACCAGAGGAAGAAACGGGCGAAGCGGGCTTCCTTTCCGGGGTCTCAGAGGTGCCCGCGCGGCAGGGCGACCTGGGCTCGGGCCGGGAGTGCGGCAGGGCTGGGATGGTGGTGCATCGGCCCTGATCTAGGGCTCGGGGTCGGGCCCCGCTGGAGTTTGGGTGGTAGGGTCCGGGCTGATTTCAGAAGAGTGACTGAAGGGCCACCGAGTAGTTTCAGGGTGGAATCACAGCCCCGCCAGAGCAGGGGGCTGGGGGTGGGCGTTGGGGGCCTGGAGTTCATCTGAGGCTGGAGACGGAGGAACGGGTGGCTCTCTTTAGGATTTAGGCAAAGGACTACGGCTTTTTATCGGGGTTGAGGCTTTTGAAATTTGGGAATGGTCGTGCGCGCTGTTCCCCACGCTCCGTGGGTGGAAAAGCACCAAGGGAGGCGATGGAAGTAGTGGATCCGAGTCACGGCAGGCGAGTCCCGGATTTCTGCTGCTTCTCCCGGAAAGAGGCTTTGGGAGAGAGGACTCGAGGCGCACAGGACCTGGTCCTAGGAGGAAGATTCCAGGAAGCGGACAGATCGGAGGGGCGTTCTGGGTGGAGCGACAGGGCAGCCTCGCAGGGTCGAGGTGGATCCGAGGACCGTGGCGGCTCTTCAGGCCTCGGGAGTCGCTCGGTCGTCTGCGGGCGCAGCGCATCGGGCTGGGTTCGGTTGTCCGCAGGCGCCGCGGCCTGCGCCGGAGCTCCAGCAGCGAGGAGCCGCGTTGCGCCCGGGGAAGTCTGGACTGCGGCCGAGGGCCGGGAGGGGTCGAACTCGAGCACTCTGACTTTACTCGCTGGCTGTGGACCCTCAGGCACCGCGGCCGGGTCCCGAAGCCCACTCGAGGTGCCGCGGGAGCGACGTTTCGCCTGGGAGAGTGGGGATCTCAGGGTCTCCTACCCTCACCCCCTTGTCCCCGGATTTCTCCAGCGTGTTAACTTCTCAGATATCAAATGCTCTCCAACTGGTGGAAGCCTAAAGCTTCGCGCTGTGGACGGCTTTAGGTGACCCCCTCCTGCACACGGAGAAAATGATGGTGTTCAAACACAAAAGCAGAAATTCTGTGAAGTCTAACCCGTAGACTTCCCGTTTACTCTGCCATCCTGGCCTTCTCGAGGCCTCGGGACCTTGGGGGAAGGGAGGGTCTCCTGTTTCTGGACTCTCGATCTCCTACTCGAGCTGCACCCTCCACTCAGGCTCGGGCCTAGCTCCGGGCAGGGAGAGAAGTCCGGACCGCGGAGGGAGGCTGCCCCTCTGGCCAACTGGGGAAGCAGTGTGTTGGGGCGGGGAGTGGCGGGGGGGAGGGCGCTGGAAGGAGGTTTGAAATTTCCTCCTCACAATCTGGAGCTCAACCTCTCGCACCCGTCGCGCCCCTCGGGAGCTGCGAGACCGTGCTTCCGGGGCGCAGAAGACGCGCGACCCACGAGCCGCTGCAGCGGCCCGGGGCGCGGCGACTGCCCGCCGCGGAGCTCCACGCTGTTGTTCTGCAGGCTTGGAATTCTTGCACTCTCTCCCGCCGCGAGCCTGAGTGCAGGAGGGAGCCGTGACCCTGCGGAGACTCCCGTCCCCGCCTCCCCTTTGTGAGCTCCGAAAGCTTGAAAGCCGAGAGAAAGAGAAGCTGTTTAGAAAAAGGGGCAGGGGGTTACTGGAGAGAGATGGGCCGGCCACCGCTCACAGTAAAATGCCTCGTGCAAATTGCACTGAAGTGCACCGAACTCGCGGCCGGCTGTTTTATGGTCCTTACTGGGAGTTTACTGCTCTCTGCTTTTAAGTCTGTAGATTGCTTTAAGTTAATGAAAGTGCTGCTTTCAAAAGGGGCTTTTATTGTGGGGCCATGATGAGTCCAGTACCTCCCCTTTACTCTCCCAAAAGGGGCCTGTTCGTAAAGAGAGGCTCCTGGAGTCCCCACAGCGGCGAGCAGGGGCAGGACGCCCTTTGACAACGAGGGTTAATAAACACCAATGTCCAAGTGATGCAGCACGTCGAGTTTGTTCCTTTTCCGGTCCGGTGTCGTCTGCACATTCTTTTCTCGCATTCTGGACTTTCGCGGAGTCTGACTTGACGTGTTGCTTAGTGCCTCCCCCCACATCCCTCCTCAACATTGCTCTACACAGGTCTGACCCTATTCAATTAAACTCCAACTGGATTTCAGGATTTCGACTGGCTGCCAAATCAAACTGCAACTAAAATATTTACTTGGGCACCGGGGGAGGGGCTTTGCCTTGCTTTTAGTAAGATGGATGTGTTAAAATGTCAGGGAGAAAGTCTGGAAACCTTGAGGAGAAATGTGGAAAGCTATTTTTCAGCACTTTTCCCTTTTCCAATCTCTCTGGCACAGGAGGTGAGATGACAGCGTTTTCTGACTGGGCCCGAACACACAAACTGCAGCGGGCCCGGGCTGCGGCTTCGACCGCGTGTCATAACCATTTAGACTGCGGTTAGTTGTTCAAAGCTTCTCCAAGCTGGGTTTCATTAACTCTACACCAGTTGCCTGGAAGTTCAGTAGCAATAAATTGTATAAACACATTTGAAGTAAGTTAGTGATGAAATAAGGAGAATTACTGTCTTGTGAGTGGAGAATCTTGAATTCATGGAGTTCTGGCTTAACTGGAAACACACCTCTTCTCCCTCGGCCTTGATGTTTATGGGTACACCGGAGTGTGTGTTGAATTTCTTTCTGCCATGTCCATCTTCAAGCAGGGGCTGTAACTCATTAGGGACCAAGGCATGCCTAGAAAGCAAAAAGGCTGAGTTTTAAAGGGGCTTCTATTAGCCTGGTTTAGAAACCAACCCCACCCCATCAACTCGCCTTCCTTACTCTGGGTGAATGCCACGCGCCCCTGAACAGTGCGGAGCAGACCAAATTAGATTTTTAAATGTTAGTGGCTTAATAATACTGTGTTGTTAGCAATTGAATTTGTTTTTATTAAAGAAACAACCTATAAAATTTATAGGCTTCCCGCATGTTGCAAGATTTCCATGCTATTTATTTAGCACCCTCCCCCCCCCCACCAATTCTATCTCCAGTTTCAGACTTTTGTTCCCCATTTATTTAATTTGGAGCACATTTTCTAAATTAGTTTGGGGAAGGTGAGAAATGCTGTTCTAAGTTTTCCTTTTCCTATGCTGGGTGGCACCAGGCCTGCGATGCTGAGATATATATAAACGTGTGATGCAATTGCTAGAGGTGATGGCATGGGAACCAGGGCGTCTGCTCAAACGCAGATCGGAGTGTGGAGAGGATGCAAGCAAATTATGGTGAGCCACCACTAGCCTTGAGCCCCGCCACCGTGCCACACTTTGTACGAAACACTTCACGTGACACTCGTGACTTATTGAAGACTGAATTCTATTGAGAAGCAGAATTTAGAGGGAGGAGCCACACAGGCTGGGTTCTGGCCAGGCTGCTTGGCCAGCTCGTTGCAGTGGGGATCAGCTAATTTAATTAAATCGAATACCTGGTGGGAACGGAGGAAGGAGCTAATCAAGGCTGGCAGGTCATCGTGCTGAGCTAGTGTTCAGGCTGAAATTTGGGGGCCGGGCAGCTTTACACCCCGTTACTGCCTGACTACAGTGCTCCAGCCAGTCGTTTGGATTCTGGGTCTCGGTTTCTCCATCTGCAAAGTGAGTGCCTGGCAGGAATCGCTCCTGGGGCTCCGAGGAGTGACCCCTGCACGAATCTGCTGGGTGGACTCTAAGCAACAAAGGGCTCGGGAGAGGGAAGGCTTCTGAGCAGCACTGCAGTCTTCAGTGTGTTTTCTGGCCCCGTCTGGTCCCGCAGCCTTCCCTCGTGATTCTCAGGAATCCTGAGACTTGGGCGAAAGGGTTGACTCCTGCCTTTCTTTACATCCTAGAATTTGAAAACCCTGCTGTGATTCCAAAAACCACCTGCACTTTATCAGGAGGGACAGTTAAGTTGCCGCACTGGGGGAACCGGCATGCTCTCTGCCAGTGGTGCTACCTGGAATGGCTTTCATGCATCAGATGAACACAG